AATGTTCTGAAATGCAGGAAGACTGCCAACCAGTCAATCTTACTGCTTCAGAAATTCTCAAGGCATGTTGAAATTATGATTTGGCTTCCCTGTCAGGCACCTGCTTTTAAAGAACTGTAAGGATTGGGTTCAGGAAAAAGGGAAATTGCTCCAAACACTCCTGAATGTTGGAGCTTCTGTGGAGAATGGACAGTGAGATGATTGGCCTCAGCCAAGGTGTCCTCTTCACCCTCTCCATAAATTGACTTTTGTTGTCAAGGCTCATGTTTGAATATCATAAATCCCTACAGTGCAGAAACAGGCCCTTGGGCCCAACATGTCCACACTGACCCTCAGAGCATACCACCCAGACCCATCCCCCTGTTACCCTGTCTACACATCCCTGAATGCTACAGGCAATTTAGCATGGCCAATCCACCTAGCCTGCACATCTTTGGACTGTGGGATGAAACCAGAGCACCTGGAGGAAACCCATGCAGACATGGGGAGAATGTGCAAACTCCACACAGACAATTGCCTGAGGGTGGAATCGAACCCGGATTGCTAGTGCTATGAGGCAGCAGTGCTAACCACTGAGCCACCATGCTGCCTATCAAGGCCACTTCATTGGGAATCTCTTTATGTTGGGCAGTCAGAATCAAATTACGTCCGCGGCTGGAGTCAGACGTCTTAGTGCTAATATTTGGAATGGGTGGATTGTCTTGTGAGGCATGGGTGGACAGGCTAGGTCCCCATCCGAAGGAGTTTAGGAAAACAAGAAGCAAGCATTTGAAAAATCCAAGTCTGAGGGGTTCTTGACTAGGGAAATGTGGAGAGAGAGTTTCCTCTTATGGAAGAATCTAGAACTAGGGGGCCTGTTTTAAAAAAACAAGTGTTGCCCAATTAAGACAGAGATAAGATGATTTTTTCTCCCCCTGTCCAATGACCATTTGGAACTGATTTCAGTAAAGGTGAAAGCAGAGTCATGGGACAGCATGGTGGCTCAGTGGTTAGTCCTGCTGCCTCACAGCACTAGGGACCTGGGTTCAATTCCACCCTCAGGTGACTGTCTGTGTGGAGTTTGCACATTCTCCCTGTGTCTGGGTGGGTTTCCTCTGGGGGCTCCGGTTTCCTCCCACAGTCCGAAGATGTGCAGGCTAGGTGGATTGGCCATGCTAAATTGCCTGTAGTGTTCAGGGATGTGTGGTTTAGGTGGGTTATAGGTGGATGGGTCTGGGTGGGATGCTTCTAAGGGTTGGTGTGGACTTGTTGCGCCAAAGGGTCTGTTTCCACACTGTAGGATTCTATATTAAAAAAAATACAACACAGAAACAAACCCTTCAGTCCAACCAGTCCATGCCAAGCAAATATCCTAAGTTAATCTAGTAGTCCCATTTGGCTGATATCCCTCTAAACCGTTCCTATTTGTGCACACATTTAGATACTTTTTAAATGTTGTAATTGTACCAGTTTCAACCACTTCCCCTGGCAGCTCATTCCATACACACACCACCCTCTGTGTGAAAAAATTGCTCCTTAGGTCCCTTTTAAATCATTTCCCTGTCACCTTAAACCTCTGCCCCTCTAATTTTCGACTTCCCTACCCCAGGAAACAACTTCGACTATTTACCCTATCCATGCCCCTCATGATTTTATAAACCTCCATAAGGTCACCCCTCAGCCTCTGACGCTCCAGGGAAAATAGCCCCAGCCCATTCAGCCTCTCCCTGTAGCTCAAACCCTCCAACCCTGGCAACATCCTTGTAAATCTTTTCTGAACCCTTTCAAGTTTCATAACGTCTTTCCTACAGCAGGGAGACCAGAACTGAACGCAGCGTTCCTTGAATGTTTTGGAGCCAAAGGTGGATAGATTTCTGTTAAGCAAAGGGATGAAGGGTTATCGGGGCACTTGGGATATGGAATTGAGTTTACAATCATTGAATGGTAGAGAAGACACGAGGGTCTAATGACAAACCCCTGCTCCTGATTTGTAAGTTCATGCGCTTTATAGGCAAGAAAAAAAGGGGAGCTTTAGCAAAGGAACAAGTCTCATCTAATTAGCCCCTTGAGCTTAATCTCAACATCATTTAATTCCTGATTGATTTGTACTCCATCCAACCACTTGGTTTTACATTCCTCAGTAACCCTGCTAACAAAAATGTAGCCATCTTGGTTTGGAGATTGTAATTTACCCCCAAACCTCAGCAGCATTCTGGGGAGAATATTTCACTCAGTGTGAAGAAATGCCTCCTAATATCATCCCTCAGTGGTCAAATTTTAAGGCTAGGCTTCTTCTGGGCTGCCTCTCCCTTCTAACCCACATCGGAGAAAATAGTGTCTCAGTACTGGCAATTTAAAATCTTCTAATCACCTTCAACACCAGAAAATCCACCCAAAATGTACTTAGCTGCCTGATGTGCAAAGACTAGAAGTAATCTGTACACCAGTGGCTGACATCATGAAGGAATTGAATTCATGAATGTAAAACAAAGAGAGGAAAATACCGAACAAGTAAAAAGCAAGGCTTCCGATTCAGCTTTTATCCTTCATGTTTTGAATCAACCCGAGTTCATGGGTATCTCTGTGATGGTCAGTGTTCCTCAGAGAGCTGTTTTTGCTGCATTCTGAGATCCATGCTCAGTGCCATATGCATGCTGTCAACCTCGCTCTCCAACAGCTGTGCCTCACGGCTCGAGCTGTCCTAACGTTTCCCCCCCACTGATTACATTCCACTTCATCCTCCAGCTCATTCGACATTCTGAAGAAAGGTCACCAGACCCGAAACGTTAACTCTGATTTCTCTCCACAGATCCTGCCAGACCTGCTGGGATTTTCCAGCAATTCCTGTTTTTCTTTCAGATTTCAGATCAAGTCTATTTACCCTATCCATGCCCCTCATGATTTTATGAACCTCTGTAAGGTAATCCCTCAGCCTCTGGTGCTCCAAGGAAAATAGCGCCAGTCTATTCAGCCTCTCCCCTCTAGCTCAAACCCTGCAAACCTGACAACATCCTTGGAAATCTTTTCTGATCCCTTTCAACTTTCACAACAACTTTCCTATAGCAGGGAGACCAGAATTGCACACAATATTCCAAAAGTGGCCCCTCCAGTGTCGTGTATAGCCACAACATGACCTTCTAACTCCTATACTCAATGCACTGACCAAAAAAGGCCAGTGTACCAAACGCCTTCTTCACTATTCTGTCTACCTGCGACTCCACTTTCAAGGAACCATGAACCTTCACCCCAAGGTCTCTTTGTTTAGCAACACTCCCCAGGACCTTACCATTAAGTGTGTTAGTCTTGCCCAGTTTTGTCTTTCCAAAATGTAGCACCTCACATATATCTATATTAAACTCCATCTGCCACTCCTTCGCCTATTGGCCCATCAGATCAAGGTCCCATTGTACCTCTGAGGTAACCTTCTTGGCGGTCCACTACACCTCCAATTTTGATGTATAAATAAATGAAAACCTTATCTGTCTTTTTTTAAACATCTCCACAATGACTGTGAATGCAGTCTGAAAGCCCTTGGCTTGAAGTGCACTGGAACATCCTGAGGATGTGATAGACGTGACCAAAATACAAGATTTTTCTCTCTCAATGTTGGTGTGATCAGCCACTTAATGCTGTCATCTACAGTCTGTCTACAGCTTTTCAATGAGGCTGTTCGAAGTAAAAGCAAGAAATTTCAAGTAACACTGTGTTCATTCATCAGACTCTCAAAACGCAACCCCTGAATCACATCAAAGGAATCTTACAAACAAAGCAGAAAAATAAAGTAAACAAAGTTTTAAAAGTTCAACATTTCATGCTATAAAGTAGAAAAGCAAAGAAACACAGTTAACAGTTCACCACCACAGTCCATAAGACCCTGGCCATGCTGTGCTCACACTCCTCATAA